CTGTGGGACTCCTCAGGGAGCTGGGCTTTCATCCTTGCCATTCAACATTGGCCACGTCATTCTTTTCCAAAACAGTGCCAATACAGGCAACAATGAAAGCACTGGATGCGTCTTAGAGAGAAGGCACTGATCAAGTAATTCGGCAGGGTATCTGCAGTACCCAAATGATATTGCCCTTGAGAGAGACAGATTCCGAATGCGGCACAGCTACGAACGGTGGCCTCTTCTTTAATGCCCTGAAGTCAAAGGTCAAGCTGGTTTATGAGTGTTTCAGGAGATTGAGCAATTTAAATGTCTTTATTGCGGGACCTCCTGCGGTTATACGTCCAGACAGAGCTAAAGAGAAAGATCAACCTCGCTTTGAATACTTTTGGCAATCTGCCAAACGTTCAGGCTGAAAAGGTGTGGTGATTTCCTCAAAAGTCACCTGTACCTTGCCTCTGTCAGGTCGGTGCTGTTGTGAGGCATGGAAATGGTGGCAGCAACGAAAGAGCAAGAACGAAGTTTAAACTGCGGACAGCAGCGACAGCGTTGTCTTTGAGGGTTAAATGGAAGGATTGCGCACTGAACAGCTCCATTCTCTTTCGCTGGCACTGGTGATCTAAGTAGATGCAGAGATGAAGAAAGGGAGGTTTATAGTCCTGCCAGAAAAATTGGTTGAGCCTACAGCAATTACTTTAGCCCTTCAGCTAGCCGTGTGGTTGCCCAAAGACTTAATGTCGACGGAGAGGCCACCATGCAACATGGAGAGATGAAGCAGAAACAGATCTGCTGCTGGAGATGAAAATTTTACTTCTACGATGCAGTAAACAACACCATATAGCATCAGTGTGCAAAGCTGTAAATACAGCTGATGTCACAAACCAAAAATGTTCTGTTTATGCAAATGAATCAACGTGACGATCTTAAGAAATACATGCGCCTTTAGTTATACCTATTCATAAAAACATCTATCACTGCCTTGTTAACAGTGGTTCACTTGTGTCGATTGTTAAGTCAAAGCATTCGCAACAGATCTTCAGGGTCAACGCATAATAACGCAATTACACTTTGGCTGGACAAAGTCCCGTTTTTCAAACAGACGTTAAAATTTGATAGTAAAAAAGGGAATTAAATCGATTTTTCTGAAGACCTGGCCAGAGGGGGGATTTATTGATGTGCTTTTATAAGAACTGCAACATAGAAGCAGAACTAGAGTGAATAAAATTCGTATCTATTGTTTGCCTATCAGTATTCAAAGTGGACGATATATAATCTCGTCAGATCAGTGGGCATATCGTATCGCATTGTGAAATGTCCGTGGATTGCCGATGATGCTTGCCATACCTCTTCTATTTGCAACGCACGTGGCAAAATTTTGGAAAGTTTTCCGTTACCCAGCGAGACTGGTCAATAATTGTAAACTTAGCCGGCAGGAGAACATTTTAAAATTCTACCCTATTAGCAGCTCATTCATGGTAACGAGTTTATTCGGGTAGCGAGTAATTTATTCCTGCGTTGGTGTTCGTACTGAAAATCGAAAAATGGGTAAAAACGGTTTATTTATGCACAACGCAAACGAATAAGTTGGTCGTTCGGGTGATTGACCTCTAGCGACGTTTCGGCTTGTCCCTCACGAGATTTCCTCATAGTGCCTGAGTTGGTTTCTACAGTTTATTATGTCGTCAGCAGCCGTGGTGGCGTATGGAGCCGAAGGTTCGCGCTTGGCCTGTGCTGCTGGTTAAACAGTTTTTTCTGGTAATGGGCTTGATATGGCTTGCTTGTCCAATCCACGCAGAGTTCGCGTACTTTGTCCCGGTCTCACAGGTTTGAATAATTGTTACTTCTTTGATGACGTCTGCTAGTTTGTTAGTGGATGGTTGTTTGTTTTCTTCGTCGACTCTTCTTTGTTGCCGCATGTCGTTCGCATTCATCTCTGGTCATTCATCTTCTCCAAAAACAGGGGAAGAAAACACAAGCTCAAAAAACCAATGTAAAAAGACCTTGGAGATCGTGAAACGCGCGACAGGAAAAGGTTGCGTTCCGCAAAGATCAGATTGCGTGAGCATCGGTAAGTAAAAAACTGGCTCAGCAGACGTAATCGAAAAAACCACAGTTATTCAAACATGTGAGAATATCAACCGGGACAAAGTACGCGAACTCGGGGCGGATTGACGAGCCTTATCAAGCTCCTGAGGCAATAAACTACGTAACCAGGAGCATGGGCCAAGCCCGCACCTTCGGCTTCATACGCCACAATGGCTCCTGACAACCGCAAAAACCAACCCGGGCCACAGTGAGGAAATCTCGTGAAAGACAGGCCGAAACGTCACTAGAGGTTAATCACCCGGTTGACCAACTTATTCGTTGACGTTGTGTATAAATGCACCGTTTTTGTTCATTTTTCAGTTTTTATGGAAACGGGTTTACGGAAGACATGTGACTGCTGATCGCTCTGACGCTTTAATGGGGATAGACAGATCTGGGAGCATCTAAATCGGCCCAGCAAAGTTTCG